AGAATTGGAAGAAACTGCTTTAAAGTTCATATGGAACCAAAAAAGAGCCCGCATCTCCAAGACAATCCTAAGTCAAAAGAACAAAGCTGAGGCATCACGCTACCTGACTTCAAACTATACTACAAGGCTACAGTAACCAAAACAGCATGGTACTGGTACCAAAACAGAGATATAGACCAATGAACAGAACAGAGTCCTCAGAAATAATACCACACATCTACAGCCATCTGATCTTTGACAAACCTGAGAGAAACAAGAAATGGGGAAAGGATTCCCATTTAATAAATGGTGCTGGGAAAATTGGCTAGCCACAAGTAGAAAGCTGAAACTGGATCCTTTCCTTACTCCTTATATGAAAATTAATTCAAGATGGATTAGAGACTTAAATGTTAGACCTAATACCATAAAAATCCTAGAGGAAACCTAGGTAGTACCATTCAGGACATAGGCATGGCAAAGACTTCATGTCTAAAACACCAAAAAGCATGGCAGCAGCAAAAGCCAAAATTGACAAATGGGATCTCATCAAACTAAAGAGCTTCTGCACAGCAAAAAAAACTACCATCAGAGTGAGCAGGCAACCTACAGAATGGGAGAAAATTTTTGCAATCTACTCATCTGACAAAGGGCTAATATCCAGAACCTACAAAGAACTCAAACAAATTTACAAGAAAAACAAACAACCCCATCAAAAAGTGGGCAAAGGATAGAATGACATTTCGCAAAAAGAAGATGACTCCATACAGCCAGACACAGTGAAAAAATGCTCATCATCACTGGCCATCAGAGAAATGCAAATCAAAACCACAATGAAATACCATCTCACACCAGTTAGAATGGCAATCATTAAAAAGTCAGGAAACAACAGGTGCTGAGAGGATGTGGAGAAATAGGAACACTTTTACACTGTTGGTGGGACGGTAAACTAGTTCAACCATTATGGAAAACAGTATGAAGTATTCCTCAAGGATCTAGAACTAGATGTACCATATGACCCAGCTATCCCATTACTGGGTATATACCCAAAGGATTACACCATATACTATAAGGACACATGCACATGTATGTTTATTGCAGCACTATTCACAATAGCAAAGACTTGAATCAACCCAAATGTCCATATCAGTGATGAGATTGATTAAGAAAATGTGGCACATATACACCATGGAATACTATGTTACAAAAGGATGAGTTTGTGTCCTCAGGGACATGGATGCAGCTGGAAACCATCATTCTTAGCAAACTATCACAAGAACAGAAAACCAAACACCGTATGTTCTCACTCATAGGTGGGAACTGAACAATGAGATCACTTGACTCGGGAAGGGGAACATCACACACCGGGCCTGTCATGGGAGGGGGAAGGGGGAGGGATTGCATTGGGAGTTATACTCTGATGGGGGCCGTATTTGAGTTGATGGGTGCAGCACACCAACATGGCACAAGTATACATATGTAGGCAAACCTGCACGTTGTGCACATGTACCCTACAACTTGAAGTTTAATAATAATAAATAAATTAAAAAAAAAAAGAAATATAATTTACAGCCAAAAGAAAACATATTTAGAGATAAAGGGGGACGCCTCTTTTAGAGTCAATTCATCAGGAAGTTACAACAATTTTCAACAGCACCTAATACACAACAAATAGATAAATACATAAATAATTGTGCTAGATAAATATATAAATAGAAATGTCCAAAGCAAAAACTGACAGAACTAGAGAAAAAGAGAAATTATTAGTGAAGTGGAGACTTTAACAAGTCTGTCTCAGTATGATGAAACATGAGTAAAAGTGAGATGGGACATGGATTTGAACAACATGATCAGGCAAACTTGACCCAATGGATACATAAATAGCCCTCACCCAGTAATTACGGAATACTTCTTTCCATCCTCGAATGGGACCTTTCGAAAATAGCTATGTGGCTGCAGCAGGTCACAACAACTTCAGAGCACTGGGAAGTCATAGGACAGCATACTTCCTCTGGAGCACAGTGCAAATAAGCTAAATACCACACAAAACTATAAAATAACAAACCATAAAATAACAAAACTAAATGTTTAGAAATTTTAGCCAGCTGGGCATGGCGGCTCACACCTATAATCCCAGCACTTTGGGAGGCCGAGGCGTGATCGCTCTGAGATCAGAGCCGAGACCAGCCTGGCCAAACATGGTAAAACCCTCATCTCTACTAAAAATACAAAAATTAGCCAGGCATGATGGTGTGTACCTGTAGTCCCAGCTACTTGGGAGGCTGAGGCAGGAGAATAGCTGACTCAGGAGGTGGAGGTTGCAGGGGCGAGATCGTGCCACTACACTCCAAACTGGGTAACAGAGCAAGACTCCATCTTAAAAAAAAAAAAAAAAAAAAAAATTAGAAATATTTTTCCAAACAATCCATGATGCAAAGAAGTCATAATGTCAAGTAGAAAAGCTAACTATAATTCCCCTTAAAGGGCAGGTACTCCTCTCTTTGGGTGAGACCTGTCTGGCACAGAATATCTGGGAGCAGGTTGGACAGCCAGTCTGTTTACTCTGCAGAAATTTCTTTGTGGAATAGCAAAGGGGTATTGCAATGATGCTAATAACACAGAACACGATCCTAGAAGCTGAAGGAGGAATCTCGTGGTTTGTGAAGCCCTGGAGGAGCTTCTTGTTTAATTATTTCTTGTAGTAACCAAGGGAACATTATGAGCTCCCCACAGAGCAACCACAGGTCACATCAAAGTAGGCAAGTAGCTGGCCAGCAGTATTTCACACACTTTGCTTTTCTTCCTGAATCTGCAGTTTGAGAGAGGTAGCTGTCTCTGGGAACTTGCTGATAGGGCACTATACAGCACAGTCCAGAATCCATTTCGTCTTTGGTCACACTTCCCTGGTGGGCCAATACAAGTAGGAAAGTTGTATTCGCCATTCATTTGCTGCCAACTAAGTATCATAGGCTGAGTGGCTTAAACCACAGAGATCTGTTTCTATGGAGGCCGGGAAGTATAAGATCAAGGGGCTGCCATAGATGGAAGCCAGGAGCAGACCCAGACCACTGAGATTCCACTCTGTGGCACTGATTCAGTGTGTCCTGGATGAAGGACCAGCCCACCCTAGCAGAGGGATGACCTAGGACCGGACCATGCTACTCAGCAGCTACTCAGAGCCAGGTTTGCTCGCTCTTGCTCAGCCGGCCCAGTGCCGCCCACGGCCTCCAAGTGATGGTGCAGTGCGCCTATCTGACTTGCTCTGCATGGCCTCTGGGCACTTGCAATGCAGCTACCGCCGCAGACTGGGGAACCAATTTCTATCCTTGTTTAAGAGAAGAATACATGTGGTGATGATCGTGTGCAGTCAGCCATCCTGTAAGGCACGTGAGCTCACTAAGGAGGCAGCCACGCCAGGGAGGTGGAATTCTCCAGGAGAAAAGGCCCTTCTAATTTTATCGTAGGATTATATTCAGGAAAAAAAAAGAGTGGTTATTGGACAAAAATCACCACAAATAGAAACAATTGTAATAAAGCTTTATTGAACTCCCCTACAGATCATTCAGATGCCTGACCATGTCCAGATTCCTCTCAGCAACATGGAAAGCTAAGCCATTTCACAAATGCACAGCCATAGCTACCCTACAGCCTCACATGCCCAGGGCACAGACCTTGTTGCTAAGTCTGTAACAAAAGAGCACCACTAGCATTTGTGCAGGGTGTGTGCGGCTGCAGCCAACACCACCTCCTGGGCATCACAGGCTCACTCACCCAAGAGGCGTAGCAGCACCGCCATGGCCGAGTGGGTACTCCAGTAGCCTAGACACCCCAACACCGGCACTGCACAAGGCCCTGAGGGGTAGACTGTGCTGCAAAGAGGACACATTCTCCTTGACCTAAGGGACCCGGCTCACTGGGCCTCCTTCCCCCGCCAACCACCAGCCCCTGCATGCCTAGCTGGGAGGTAAGCACTCACTGGTGGCACGGATTTCCATTATCTTGCTAATGTTGATAAAAATTTAAGTTACATTAAACAGAGACTGGATTCAGATTCTAAGTCTCATCAGTGGACCTCTGTGGTCTCACACCGCCCCAACCACAGAGCCGAAAGTCAGGCAGCATTTACCAGGACTTGGCTCTTAACTGCTATACTCTAACAAGTCACCTGAGTTTCAGCTTCCTGAAGAGCCCACCTATTTGAGAAAGTGCCTCTCCTATCAAGAGGCATCTGGGGGCATGTGTGGACCTCTTGATCACAGCTTGAAGAAACAGAACATGATTGGAGTAGCTTCAGAACTAAGGTGGCCACATTCACCCCATCACTTAGGAGTTAGCTCCACTATACACACCCAAGCACAGGAGAGCAGTCACCAGGAAAGGATGTTGGAGGCTTGAAGTTCTCAAGGAGCTGCTGTGACAGAGGTACAAACATCTCCAACTAGACTTCCCAAATACACTAACAATAATTAAAAATGTGGCCTCGATCCCTATGTTTCTACCAGTAGAGGCAAAAAGCAGATTTTCATAACTATATGTTAAAAAGAACATGTTCAAGTAAATCCACTACATGTGAGTGTTGTATGCTGTTCTTCCAATAATATAAAAGTATAAAAATACGATTTCTGCCCTTTGTATCTAGACACAGCTGGAGAAAACACGGTTGCTACTAGCTAACTAGCTCTGTGTTATCTGAGCAGGTGCACTATCCCAGGCCTCACCTTCCTGTGCTGGCTCAAGAGGGCAGCAGAGAAATGGAGATGGCAATGCCTCTTCATTCCAGAGACCAACTCAGGAGGACAGAGCCAGCCCTCAGCATGTTGCACAGCCTCTCCACGGGTGATACTCCTGGGACCTCCAATGGATGTGGGAGAAAAGGCCTCTCAGCCCAGCCTACGTGAGGGCGGGGTCATGTGTGGGGTGGGGCTGCTTCTGGACTTAGGAAGATGTCAACCTCAGGGGTACCTGGGAAGCACAAGCCAGGGCCTGGGTGCCCGCCCATCCTAAGAGCCCCTCAAAGCGCCAGCTCACTTAGCGGCAGGCTGCTTGTCCTTGCACTTCTGGTGGCACTCAGGATCTCCCGATACGCGGGGTCCTCCAGGGTGGTAGTGTCCCCCAGCTCCTGGGCCTCACTAGTGATGATCTTCTCTCAGGAGCCGCCTGCATGACCTTCCCAGACCTGGTTTCTTGAAGACGTTTCACCACCTGGCAAGGAAGAGGCAATGTATTAGGAGCGTGATGATGCCCAGCCTCCGTGCTAGTATGGACTGCATTGAGATGAGAAGGCTCATGCTCAGGGGGATGTTCTCTCGGGATCCACAGTGGATGTCTAAGCCTCCACCCCCAGAGAATGGTGAGGCCTGAGGTCTTGGCTTTATCCTTCCACTATCTGGACTTCCAAGCTGAAACTCCACCCTGATGCCTCTGCCAGGCAGGGTCCACCCAGGCTGGGTTCACCCCATACTGCCACCTGTCTGTCCTGCCACTGTGCCACGTGCAGACACCCAGGTGGTAGCACGTCCAAGCACTCCACTGGGTGCCTCACCTCCCATTCCCGGCCTGGGACTTAGTGGGTTTTGTCTTATGTAAGAGGTGAGAACTACGAAGAGAAAAATTTTGTCTTAGTGTTTGAAAAGCTAACATGGAGCATGCTCAAAAAACTACAGCCCATTCACTGCAAATGGCAATACATTAAGAGCTGTTGTTTGGGATCTTTGACAGTCACTCTGTCTTTTGAAATAGTCTAGTTCACCTAGGCGAGTCCGGGTCTCCTGAAACTCTGGTCACTTGGCCAAATGTGTCAACTCTGTACCAGTGGAGCCTGGCCCTGCTGCCTCCAGCTCAAACCCAGAGTCACTACACAATGTCTGGCGGCAAAGGAGGGAATGAAAAACCGAGGGCTGAAGAGGCAGCCCAATCCTCCCCCGATTCTGACTTCTGGGGTGGGGATCTGCGATCTCCTCACTGCTACCAGGAAAAGTGCCTAGGAAACTACAGGGGCTGAGAACCCTGGTATTGTCTCCCCCGCCATGTTTCTAATGAAAATCCTCATAAGATCTCACCAGCAGCCCCATTTCTGTGACTAGCCTGCACATGCCAACATACCAGAGCAGAAGCCTGCCTAGGTGACTCTTCTGAACAGGTGAGCTGGCTGGGCGTGAAGCCTAGGTGACTCCTGACAGATGAGCCCACTGAGTGTGGAAACCTGCCTAGGCTAATTCCTGACAAGTAAGCTGGCTGAGCTTTTGGAGCTGTGCTAAGCTCTTGAGCTGGCATCTCCTGCCCTCTCCTCTCCCTCTATGATAACACAGCCACCCACCAGCCTCACTACACTAGCCAGGAAAACCAAAACAGCTATAGTGTCAGTTTTTGATGGTAATTTTCAAAAGAGTAATATGTCTTAAAAGATCATTGTCACTTAACAATTGTGGGAAGCATAGCAGCATGTTCACCTTTGTGGGAGGCCCACTCACCAGGATCTCATCAGGCACAGCATATTTGGCAATCTTGGTGGCCACCATGGACTTGAGCTCCTGCACCACCACATCTGAGTCACCTGCACTATCTTTCACCACAATGAAGGCAAAGGCAGCTGAAAATAAAGTCGTTTGGGGATGTATTAAATACTAGACAATGAGCCAACTCCGAAGCAGGGTGCTATGCACAGACTGCCAGGAATCCAAAGGGCTTTGAATTCTATGTTAGGGACATTGTAGCAGCTGGTTTCTTTAGTTGCAAACCCAAAGATGTACTCAGTTTCATGAAAAGTGGCAGCGATTCTAACAGCTCCACAGATGTTCCAGGTGAGTGAACATGTGTGGCTAAGAGCTTGGCATCTCAACTCAATGCTGACTGTGTATGACCTGGGACATGGGACCTCCCCTCTCTGTGTCCTTATCTGTGAAATAACCCATAATGTGGTTTGATAGAATGATTTCCATGAGAAGGTGCACAGATGCACAGCAAGTGGGCACCAACAGCCTTGGGGCATGTGTGCAACATGGTACATGGGCCAGGTGGCTATTTCAGTTCAATTAAATCAGCAGCTCCCCGGCTGCATGAGTCACACTTCAAATGCCATTTAGCACCATGCACAGCCAGAGGCTGCACCCTGACAACACAGACGTGGGCAGCTGAGAGAGTTCTGCTGGGCAGCACTGGCCAGCCCACATTTTAAGACAAATACTAGGTTTCATTTTTCAGTACCTGGCATGTTCCAGGAAGGATGTTCCAGGATGTGAAGAGGGATTCTAATTTGATTGCTTTCCATATAAAGAGTCGCTGTCCCAGCGCCTATCCCTGACAGCCTGGGCCGTCCCACTGGCCTGTATAAGCCTCTTGTCTCTCCTCTCACTTGGGTTTCTATATATGTGTGGCTCTCCCATTGCCTATCTGCCCCAGCGCCATGCCACTTTCACCCATTCTTCCCCTGGCATGTAGCACCTAATTAACTGTGTCGTTTCCTCAGTGATCATCTTTCTTGCTCTTTGTCTGTCTCTCCTCTACTTCCCCGACCTCCAGCATGCTAGCCTATGGGGGCAGAGACCTTCTCACTCACTGCTGTGTCTCGCAGCATCTGTGAACCATGCCTGAACAGGAGGTGCTCAACACATGGTTGTTTAGTGCATGAATGGATGATTGGTTTTCCGGTAAGCTATGATCTGTAAAGATCTACAGCCTTTGCCTGAAAGGCCTTCCCATATCCATGTGGCAAACTCCATTCATCCCTCTCAAGACGCAATTCAGCCACCTCCTGCTCTGTGAAGCCTCTTTACCTCCATGAATCTAGTTTATGGTACATGCTGTGCGGAACAAAGCTGTCAGTCCTCTGCTGCCACCCCACTAGGTTGTTAGGTCTTTGAGGGAAAGAACACTGTTTTTCTCATTCCTGGTCATTGATATGGGATCAGAAGTGGGCCTGGCCATGGAGTTCTGAGGATGGTGTTGTGGAGGAAACCCTCCACATGGGTGGAGGAGCCAGTTAAGAGCCAGGGCTGTATGCAGGTAAGGCCTTGTGACACTGAGACAAGAGAGACAAGAGCTTGGCCAGCAGCACCAGAGGCTGAGCTGGGTCTACCAGGGGCTGCCCTTTTTCAGAGCTGGTGCAAAACAGAGAGAGTGGGGACAAATACACGATACAGGTGGCTTTACAGCCAATCAAGAGCTGTTTGTCAGCTCTTCATAACTATAGAATCGATACTCAAATTCATTAGAAATCAGGAAAATCATCATACCCATGATACACAAATTCTCCCCACACATCTGGCAGACATTAAGAAGCCTGGCAACACCAGACTTGGTAATAAGCTCCACACATGCAGAACGTGGCTCCTGGGCAGCAGCATCCACAGTGACTATGCCCCCAACACCACCCCCCAACAGACCTAAGGCTAAGCTGCCCTAAGGAAACACAGTGATTGCGATGCCCAAATGTTTGTCTAAAGGCCACTTCCACTGTCCTTTCCTTGATCTTGCACTTACTTTGGCGGAGTTCAATTACAGGGTTTCTCTTGAGCCCCAGACACAGTGGACCATGCACGACCCTCCTCAGTGTCCCCAGGGAGTACTGGTCAGCCACTGGACTCAGACATAGATGCGCTTTCCAACCCAGGACACCCCAGTGCCCTGTGGATCCCCAGCCCAGAGATGTGAAATGCAGGAGTACCCAGAGGAGGGGCCCAGGCTCCTGTCAGAGCGAGGTTTGAGCACTAAGTTATCCAGAAACACCTGAGAAACTGTCCTCATCTCCATCTCCTGACCCCCCTGACCACATGTGACGCCACCGCAGGGGTCCCTACCAGCCTTCTACATCCTAGCTTTACTATAAGAAGTCTTTCATGGCAACTGAAAATGCTGTTTGTAAAGCACTGAAACAAATTTAATCTGCAATGGGTCAATTTAAAGAAAGCATTTAAGTAAATAATGGAACAACGACACATAGAAGTACAGGAGGCAGACATCTGGGACACACTCTACACAGGGTGGCCTCCCAGCCGAGGATGCTGACCCCAGGCCACTGGGCAGGGTGGAGAAGCCAGTCTCGCCCAGCAGTGCCTCTGGCATTGATCTGTGTGTGTCCAGGTCACGCCAGGCCAGACAGTGTGCCTGGATGGACCTGGCATTGCAACACCTGGGTGTTCTGCCTTCCCAGACCCAGACACCGAGAAGCTGGCAGACTCGAAACAAAGCATGGCCTTGGTAAAGAAGACCATTCTAGTCCCTCATTCTGCATTCCCCTGGCATGGCGCTGTGCAGTGGGAACCACAGGTCAGATTTGTCCAAAGAGTCCCAGGGCAGCACACACAGCCTGCACGCCCAGGAGCAGCACACCCAGCACACACACGCATGGTGGCTGCAGAGCTGGCTTGGAGTGCGATGACCAAGCCCGTGAGGACACATGAGGCTGACATTTTCTCAACTCCTGTAACAGGGCTGGGTGATGTCTCCACCAGATAAACCATAGACAGGACGGGAACCCACAAGCTTAGCTAAGCCTAAGGGTCATGGCTACTGTGGATGCGTGTCCTGAAGGACAGCAGAACTAGGGCATTTCAGAAACCTGATCAACACAAGTGCTGTTCAGCCTCGTCCCTGCAGTTTCCACTTGAGAGAGAAGAATGCCACCGAGAGCTTGGCCCATAGCATCCTCTATCACCCCACTCTCCAGAGTCTGCTCCTGGAGAGATGCCCCAATGGGCGTGGGGTCAGCAATCAGGGAGGAGCTCTTCTCTAGACATTCACCTTCCTTTGATGTCGTGGGGATAGCCAATGACAGCACTTTCTGGCACTGCAGGGTGGTCGCCTGTGTACAACAGAGAACAAAATGACAAATGGGCAGCCCCTGGTGCTAGAAGTGACTCGACCAGGACTCCCACTCCTGACTTGCAGGCCCATAGGGGCATCATGGAGGTGCAGGAGGATGGGGGAGGCCCAGCCTGTGCTCACAGCCATGCCTTCACCCTGCGGTCCTCTAGCCGGTGGCCACTGGATGCTGATGACATCATCCATCCGCCTCGTGATCTGGTAATAGCCGCCTCGGTTCCGCAAGGGAGCCCCGCCTCCAGTGGCGAACAGCCTGCACCAGCAGAGAAATTCAGCACCAGGAACCCTGAGCCAGGACCCATGTCCCCACCTCACTAAGCATGAAGCTCTGCAGCCCAGCACACGGCTGCAGTCTCGCCCACGTCCTCCTTGCAACTCTGATGCTTCCCTATGTTCTAGAGCATGGGCAGGTGGCTCCAAGACATCGAGACTTCGGGAGCAGAAGGTATACAAGCAGTATCCACACGCTTTCTCCAAAACACTGAGTCTTGTTTACATGCTTGAGACTGAAATGACTGGTTCCAACAAGACAGAGAGGAGATAGCATTCATATAAATTTCAACCCAAGGACAAAAAGGAAAAACTAGGAAAAATAAAAGTAAACTAGAAGAAAAACTCCCAGCCTTGTGACAGCTCCTCTCTAAGGTACTTCTCCACCCTCCTCCCCCAGTAGCTAACAGGATCTCTACCACGGGCCTGGCTGTAGGGTGACTTCACACCCACAATCTAAGTAGCCCTGCGAAAGTCCCCGAGCAGGAATCACGCCCACTGTCAAGATAAGGAAAGCCAGGGGAGGTGTTGGCAAAGGGAGAGGGGTCGGAGTCAAATTCTGGCCTGGGAGCGCCTATTTCTGGGCCAATGCTACGCTGCACTCAAATCCTATTAAAAATGGTTTCTGAGAATAAGATTCCAGCAGTCAGCTGAAAAGGAATGAGAGGGAACCCTGACAGCCTGCCTCACCTGGGTAGGCCTTGAAGCAGGCATCCACAACCGCTGGTGGTCTATAGATATCCTGGCCATGCCCGGCCAGGCCTGGAGAGGTGCAATAGGCCCCGTGAGACGTTGCTGCCCTCCACGACGCTGCCCTGTAGACCCCAGACATGCACATGAGAGAGGGCAGGCTCTGGGTGACAAGTGTGCCAAAAATGACAAGCCCTGCTCCCCAAGGGAGCTGTCCATAGCTCTCCCTTGCCCCGAGGGAGGGCCCCAAGCCACCTGTGTGGCCGCTAGCCAGTGCATGATACCAGCAGTGAACGCTGTGAGGTCAGCAGCCTCCCCATAGGTACAGACCTGGGCACACAGGAGGAGCCGGGCTGGGCAGGCAGGATGAGGGAGGGCAGCACATGGCCCTGGCGCGGGAAGGCCCATAACACCTTTCTCATCCATGAGGACGGGGACGATGCCAAAGAAGGGCCTCACGCCATGCCAGGGAGCATTTCCCACCCTTCTTCCGGGTGGGGCCGGGTGCGATGCAGATGCTGTCTGCTTCTGCAGGTATGACAAGGAAGAAATGCAAGATCGGGCCCGACTCCAGGGATATGCATCCAGAGTGGGGGTGTGGGTGGCTGTCCCATTGTGGGCAAGGAAAACGCCTCAGGGGCACAACGATCTTTGAGGGGTCCAGATGTGAGTCTGTGCCCTCTACTGCGGATAGAGAAGGAGCTTCTCTTGCTGGCCTCAGCCCCCAGGAGTTCTGGGCGCCCCACAGCCAGCACAGGCCTCGCCATGTCAGGCCTTGCTTGAAGTAGGAAAAATACAGATCACCACTTGCACATGAAGACGGGGAAAAGAATTGCCTGGGCCAGCGCCTGTTCGACAGAACCTAGCAACGAAAAAGATGCCTCAAATCCTGCCATCACATTATTTCTCTGGCACTCGCCTACCAGGGAAATGCCCTAGACTCAGCTAGAGAATCTCTGCCCCAGGTTTTCTCCTAAATGGATGGGACTGTCCCATGGGAACATCTCATTTTCTGGCTTGAGGATGAGCCCTCAGATAGTTACATTCATTACATCTGTGGTGGTCTCTCTCTCCCTCAAGCATCCTAATGTCAGATACCCAAGAGAAGGGGGACAAATCCAAACAAAATGTCACAGGAAAAATTCTTTCTCTACTAAAATTAAATTTAGACTACAAGCCTTAGAAGATAGGGCTTATCTCATCAGATGTTCCCCTGTTCAGAAAGGGGCACTTGGAAGGACACTGCTCCTGAGCTCCTGCGGCACACACCAGGCTCATGGGCAGCAAGCTGGGCTGTGTCGCCTCAGTTCAATTACTCCAGGCCTGTGGGGGCACCCCCACTTACAAAGGAGGAAACTGAGGCTCAGAGTAGTCGTGACATGAGGGCCCATAGCTGGGAAACAGCAGCCACGCTGACTTCCGAGTTCCTCACTCTAGGCCCCAGGTTTCCGCAGCTCGGGCGCTGACGTGTCTTCTGTTGCACCTGCTGTTGAGAGCTCGACTCCCAGTCCCCAGCCTCGCCCCGCTAATCTGACCCTACAGACCCAGCATCAGATTGGAACCTGTTCCCAGGCCTCCTCACCTGTCTGCCACCAGGTGTCCACCAAGTGCACTCCTCTGCTGTCCTCACCACCCTGTGAAGCCACTCCCAGGCCTCGCAGCTGATGTGACTCTCCTAATGGAAACCACACAGGAAAGAAAAAAGATGTTAACAGGCTGCAACAAACCTGAAACCAAAAAAGTTTTCTTTTTTTTCTGTTTTTCTTTTTTTGTTTCGTTTTGTTTGGTTTGGTTTGGTTTGGTTTTTGTTTTGTTTTGTTTTTTGAGATCAGGAGTCTCACTGTCACCCAGGATGGAGTAGAGTGCTGGATCTTGCCACTGCAACCTCCACCTCCCAGGTTCAAGCAATTCTCCTGCCTCAGCTTCCCGAGTAGCTGGGATTACAGGTGCCTGCCACCACAGCCGGCTAATTTTTGTATTTTTAGCAGAGATAGGTTTACCCATGTTGGGCCAGGCTGTTCGAATCCTTGACCTCAGGTGATCTGCCGCCTCGGCCTCCCCAAAGTGCTGGGGTTACAGGTGTGGTCACTGTGTGCCCAGCCAAATGAAAAGATTTTTAAGGAGAAAACAGCTCTGTAATTTTTTTTTTTTTTTTTGAAGAATATACAAGGAGACTGAAACTGAAAGGATACATATCACATTTTATAGTCATCAAAGAAATGTACATGACGTAGGACGTATTTTTATCATTAGATAGTTGAAAATCAAAAAGCCAGCAAGAATGGAAAACAGATTTTTAAAGCAGATGCCCAGCCAGGAGGGCAGTGTGGTTCAGCAATTTTGGGGAGCAATCTGGATGTTTCTCTTCTTAACATTTAAAACTCCACATCCACTGCAACTCACTTGAGCAACTGTTTAGCAGAATCTACTACTATGAACACCTCAAAAACATGACCTCTGACGACACCCTACAGAAATGACTGCAGATGCCACCAGAAGTGGCCATGTAAAGGGTGTCCTCAGCAGCTCTGCTCATGCCAGAAACCACACACATCCCTCAGGAGTAGGTGGCTAAATACAACATGGCACGCTCCTGCAGAGGAACGCCACACTGCAAGAAGATGGCGAACCTCCAATTTACCCACGGCGGCAGCGGTGAGTCTGAGGCAATGGATGGCTGAGAAGGAGTGGTGTGGAAGTGTGATCCCACCCAACTGAGGTTCAAGTGCAGCCACATCTGGTCCAGGATGCAGGCCACACCTGTGGTCACCTGGCTCAGGTAATTTGTGAGATATTGGGTAGTGAGCCATAAGGGGCCTCTGGGACTGGGAATTTCTGTAGCACTTATACATGTAAACATCTCTCAAGTTGAACACTTAACATCTGTAACTTCAGTATACATTATATCTCAATAGAAAGGAAAAGATACACATACACCCTAGCACTCTGTGGCATCTACCTTACTGACATTTGCACCAGGCCAGCACTCAGCCAGAACTCTCCATGACGCTTGTCACTAAAACACTGAAATACCTCTGCTGGTGTTTGCCCTTGCTCAGGACCACTCACAGCCCACAGCCTGTCCCGGCAGCGGCCCCCGCATCAGTGCTGCATGATCAGTGCTGGCCACATGGGCGGCCTGGTGCCTATGGTCATACACCTGCACTCAGAATATCCACAAGTGGGCAGGAGATGGCCCTGCAGCACTGGTGAGGCTGGGAGGATCACCAGCCTGCACCCAGCCACACGGGATGTGACTATTAATTTGAGTTGTGGGCAATCCCCACAGCAGGGCAGATCCTGGAAGGGAGAAATGCAGAGATTCTACGATCTTAAAATAAACATTACAGCATAATAGCATGTGTGGTGACTTGAAAGCAAAGAAAAGATTATTATCAGAGTCAATCCACTACAGGAACCTAATTGGGTGGAGACGGGACCGAAGGCACAGGAGCAACAACACCTGGAGCAGACGTCAGGGAAAATCTTAGCTTTTTTTTTTTTTTTTTTTTAGCATGTATGGATCTCGCCTGTTGCCTGACTGGAGTGCAGTGGCACAATCATGGCTCACTGCAATCTGACTCTGTGGCTCAAGGCTCCTCCCATCTCAGTCTCCCAAGTAGCCAGGACTACAGGCATGTACCCCCACGCCCAGCTCCTAAGGACATCAGCTTTAAGTTCAGTACCACCTCAACTCCTTCTTTTCACATGAGCTTATCCATGTATTAATGAGAAATTGAAAGTTTAAAAAAGCTTTGAGAAATACACTTCTACGGGGAGGGTCTTGAGTAAGGGATTCTGACACCAGTACAGGAGGGCTGGATCCTCAGCTGCCTGAATGGGTCTGGGCTCTGGAATTGCACTGACAAGTGTGCCAGCACAGTGCTGGCTCCTGGCCAAGGTGTGACACCACACCCTGACTCTTCAGCACTGCTCCAAGGGTGCTGGGAGCCTCAGGTGCAAGACATCACAGGACACTGCGCGGCCTGCCAGCATTGTACACAAGAGCAGCACAACGAGGTGTGTGATTAGCACCTGGCCTCCTTACAGGGTTCTGGCATAGAACTGGGTTATGCAACAGGAACAGGAATGTGCCTATTGACCAGCTAAATACAAAACCCAGCTGAGCCTATGCCAAAGGCTGGCTCTGGCTCAGAGGTGTTCCAGGTCTGTGGGGATGGTGAGCCGGGATACACATCACACTCTGGACGCAGCTGCCAGAGCACACCTCTTCCTGAAATGTGCACTTAGTGTGGTACCTGTCACTGTGACCTGAATCTCTTCAGCAGAGACAACCCATGAGTGTAACTGGAAACCAAATTGGCCTTTCAGCCCTGTCCCCACCTAATGCCTAGGGCCCACTCATGTGGCCCTGCTGACAACACCTAGAGAATCTGGGAGAGTGTTTATGGCCCTGACCACTCCCACTGTTTGTTCCCAGTTCCTGCCAATTGCAGGCCCAGGCAGTCAGAATCACACAGGCCTCTCAAGCCCAGCTCCAGCATGCCAAGAGAGTATCACCCAAACTCACCACTTGCTGTGGTTTCAATGTTTGTCCCTTCCAAATCTCATGTTGAAATGTAATTGCCATTGTAACAGTATTAAGAGGTGGAACTCAAGAGGTGATTAGTGCCAAGATGCTCTTACCCTCATGAGTGACTGTTACTATAAAAGGGTGAGTTCAATCCTCCTCTTGCTCTCTCTCACCCTCTCTTTGCCCTTCCACTGAGCAGACAATGCAGCATGAAGGCCCTCACCAGATGCCAGCACCTGATGTGGATTCAGCCTCCAGAAACGGAACTAACAAATCTCTGTTCATTATAAATCATCCAGTTTCAGGGTATTCTATTACAGCAGCACAAAGCAAACCAAGACACACCATCTGGAAAGGAGCTCCATGCTCTTTCTTGAGAGGTGAGGACAGGCATGGCAAGGGAAGCAGAGTGAGCCAGGACCCTGTGACTCAAGTGAGGCACAGGGTGGGTGCCTAGGAGCCATCAAGCAGGTGGGGGCAGAGGAGTTTTGGCTTGACTTTAGAACCAGGGTACTGGGTCTTAAAGTACAGGTGCCCACTCGCTGAGTGACCTTGGGCAGGTTCGCTGATTCTGTGCCTCCTCTTCCTCCTCTGTAACTGGCCAGCCATCCATTTTCCTTTGCTCAAAGGATGTGAAGACAAAGGCAACAATACATATTTGCCTTTGGCCACAGTATTCAAACCTCCTGCTTTTTAATCTAGAAAGCCTTGAGCAGCAATGGGTTTTAATCACAAGGGAAAATAAGGAAAAGAGGAGGAGGAGTCATTGGGATGCCTGCTATTCCTCAGAGCTCTCCCCGTTAATCATCTCCAGATGGCAACATTACACTCTTCAGATGGTCACATCTGACCCTCTGTGGCATCCTCACCACCCTGCAGGTAGGTCTCATCCCCATCTCACATTTGAGAACAAGTGGTGAATTCTTGCAGGGCATGGTTCCCAGCTGCAGTGCCTCTCAACCTGTGGCTCAGATGCCCACATGGCCTCGTGGTCACCCAGTAGCAGAATCACATGTTCACTGCACTCCCTTCCCATGATGCATGTGGCAGAATGGGACACTCTTCCGTGGTCACTGCCCCGCATGCTTCCCAGTGAAAAGCCACCAAGCAGGTGGCTGATCACAATGACCATTATTGATGTAAAGGCGGACATGAAATGCAGGGACAGGAGAGGAACAGCAGTCACCAGCACTCCAGTCCCTCCCAGCACCAGCCCGAAAGACAGACACCACGACACTGCTCGAAAACCATGCCACCCCGTCACCTTTCCAAAATGTTTCCACATGACTCAAAACATTCATCAACATTACCAACAGTCAAGCTGAAACTTCACCAAACATCTACAGTAGCAGCAGGGCAAAAAGCAGGATGGTATCTACCTCATGACTTGGAGACAATCAAAGGGTCTGCCCAACGGGCAGTGTTTAGCAAACTGTAGTTAAGTACTATTACACACACACATATTTAGAAGACTGAGTCTCACTCTTGCCACCAGGCTGGAGCGCAGTGGTGCAATCCTAGTTCACTGCAGCCTGAAACCCTGGCTCAAGCAATCCTCCCACCTCAGCCTTTGCCACCACACCCAGCTAAGTTACAAAATTAAATCCTATGCAGCCACTAAAGAAATGATTGGCCCTTAACTTATTGAGTGGGTGTGGGTATTCCTAATGAAGATTAAGCTACAAGAAACTAAGAAAACGCATGGCACAGAAAATGTCTAGAATGTTTTTCCTCAGACTGGTAATCTGCTGCCAGCCTGGGAGGGCCATATAGGTGGGAAGAGGTGCTTTCTACCAGATCCAGTCTGGCTGCAAGGAATTCCCACACATACAAAGCCGGGCAGCTTCAAGGACTGAAGTCCTACCAAATGATTAACGCAGGCCCGGCAAGCACCCTCCTCCTGCCGCAGGCGCCACCACCGAACTGCGGGTCCGGCGATGGTTTGATCGAGACTCTTCCACCGCCAACGTAATCATGATTTTCAGCAACAGCCGGACAGCCGTTGAGCGCCATAGAATTGATTGATTCTTTTCACCCTTCTATTGTCTTCCTAGTACCGACCTACAGAAAGGCCGAAATTCACTGTCAGCAGGAGAGCTGACATGATCTACTTTAAACTTAGAGATCAGCCAAGACTTCCCTAGTGCTGGGCATGTGCAGACGTGTATATGTCCATAAAAAGGATCCCTCCCAACCCCCCACCAGTGAAAGACGGAAAGAAGCCCCATAGGATAAGTCTCCAATGGCTGGTCTCCTCCCCAGCACTCCTCAGATCCATGGTGGCATATTCAGGAACAGTCTTCACCTGGTTTAGGTGATGGCCTAGTTCAAGGCTATACTATGTGGATTTAATAACCTGCGGAGCATTAACACAGAGCTTTCACTCGGTCACACTTACATGGGCTCTAAAGTGGTGACTGGGGCTTCAGACAGCAGAGCTGCCACTGTGTGTGTCCCAGGAGCAGGGCCATGCCCAGCATGCACACCCCTGATTCCTGTAAACCCACCACCCACACCATCCCCTCCACATGGGACACTGAGCTTCCAGGGACTGAAGTGGTGGCCTGAGACAGCACCTGGGCCATGGCCCTTAATCCCTGGTCTTGCCCCTACAACTTCTTCCTTGAGCACACCCAGACCCCAAAGGCAGGGATGGAGCACTGGGAGGTGATAACACAGTTCATGCACAGTTGTCAGCCTCTATGGAACGCTGTGGCAGCAGCCTTGGGCAGAGCCACCATGGGTTTTCTTTACATTAAAGCAGGTATTTGAAGACACTGCTGTGTGGGAGGACGATGCTCAAGGAGCCAGACTTCACCTTGTTTTCAAAGTGATCTCAATGTAATGGAGATGGTTCTAGGCCATGCATAACATGGTCTGAGGGATGGCCCTGAAAGTTCAAGGGGCAGGGCTTGGGAAACAGAAGAGGCAGGCAGCTGGTCCTAGCCTCTTGCAGGCGGCTGGATCTGGGCAGCGGTCTAGAGGTGAGAAGGATACTAAAGTGATGGTCTGAGGCGGCAGTTTGGTTGGAGGCAGATCAGGAGCAGGGCCTTGGAGATGTCCTCCAGCTGTCAGACTCCCTGTCATGCCCGCTTGATCTTTCTGAAGACCCGTGCCTGGCCCCCACCGGCATCTCGACAGCACCTGAGAGCTACACCTCACCAGAGCCCAGTGTCCCTTCCATGAACCTCTCCACAAGCTCCTGCCTGCCTTCTCCTGACACCAGCATGGGGTCCCAAACAGGGCCCACCATCCTTACCAGCATTGGGTAAACTGGGGGCTCAAAAGGACACTGGTGGCTCCATTGCAGAGAGGCCCATACACCACATAGCTGTGTCCTGTAATCCAGCCAATGTCAGCCACACAGCCGAAGATGTCACCTGGCCGGTGGTCAAACACAAGCTGCAGAGATAGGGAAAGGAGCATTGTGGAGCTTGTCCCCCACTCCACCATGTTCACCAGGTCACTAGGAAATCAGCATGCCTGGAGTGCTGCACATGCCATGTGAGAGAGGCAGCTGGTCTGACGCACCGGCTTCAGCAGGGTGGGGACAGGTGGGAACACTGCAGAGTCCGTCTAGTTGTATGTTTAACACGTGACACCTTTTTGCAGGGCTTGCTCATGCCACATGATTTTTTAAACTCTTAAGAACTACAAAAATAAAAAGCCAAAAAGGCCAAGAATGGCATCACATCATCAGCTTCGAGAAGCATGAGAGGACAGACATCCAACTCCTTTATTCTTCCACAGCAGCTCACTGGAGCCTGATCCCATCTCAGGATCCAACTGCCCATATGCAGGAAACACAGAGGGCAGAGGGACAAATAGCACAACCCAGACTAAAGGACACTAGAGAAAATGGCTGGACACGATAATGGCCAAGTGTAAGGAAATGGGGAGCATAGGCTTGGGTATGACTTTAAAAGACAAATCAACAATATTTTAGGCCGGACTCAGTGGCTCACACCTATAATTCCAACATTTGGAGCGGCCAAGGCGGGCGGATCACTTGAGGTCAGGAGTTCGAGACCAGCCTGCTGCAATATGGCAAAACACTGTCTCTACTAAAATTACAAAAAAATGTAGCAGGGTGTGGTGGCAGGTGCCAGAATTTCAGCTACTCAGAAAGCTGAGACAGGAGAGTCACTTGAACCCAGGAAATGAAGGTTGCAGTGAGCTGAGATCACACCACTGCACTCCAACCTGCACAACAGAGTGAGACTCCATGAAGAAAATATATTTTAATGGGCAACGTAAGCTACAGTGCCTATGGACAGCACATAATGAGCTACAAAACTATCAAAAAGAAAAACACAGGGCAGGGGGCGCAAGACGACAGGACACATTGGACGGGGCTGCAGCCACATGGCTCAAGGGGCTTCTGAGAAACAGGTGGCCTTTTCACCTCTTGATCAAAGTGGCATTTGCTTTATAATAATTCATTAAGCCACACATTTAATTTGGGTGGTTTTCGTATCTGTCCTAAAAGAGTTTTAAAAATCTTTGGGTGAGTGGCCCTTAGTGTCCTGCTGCCACGTTACATGGTCAGATTCTCTGGGGAGTTTCTAGACAGTGCAGGGGGCTTCGAGGCAGCCAGGGCCCTGGAGGAGCTGTGTGGGGTGGGGAGATTCTCGAGGGGACCCTGCCCCAAATAGGACAGGAAGAAACACTGACCTCTCACACCTACAGGCCTCGCTCTGCAGCAGGAGGACTTCCTGGCCCTGCCCCCTGCCTGGGAGCCCTGCCGAGGGCCCAGCACCGCCCCGCACAGGCCTGTACCTTGTGGGTCAGGGCGGCATAGAGCAGGTAGCCTGCCTGCATGGACAATGCCCTTGGGCATTCCAGTGCTCCCTGAGGTGTACAGCATGAAGAGCACTCCTCGCTGCCCATGCCTCTGGGACGACAGGGTCTTCCTTGGCCATTTCCTGGAAGGGACAAGAAACAAAGAGCCCACCGAGGGCACTCAGCCTCTGAGAGCACCACTCCCTCCGCAGCAGGATTCCACACGGGATTCAGAATTCACCTGCTCTGACCTGTCCAAGTTCAATTCCAAATGTGGAAAGGACACAAAACAAAAGGGTGGGTGCAATCATTTGTGTTACAGTAAGTGTTCCAACCTCCCTGTCATATTGGAGTTTTATCTTCCCACACAGTACTCAAGCTCACCAAATACCACAGAGGAAACCTGGGCACCTCTTAGGAACCCAATCTGAGAACTACAACCCCAAGAAGTCTCAGAGGCAACTAACTTGATATGACCCCTCCTCAAACTATGCAAAGTGAGGTAACCTACCTGCTCCAGCGATCGTCCAGACCCTGCATGTGGACTCTTGTTGTCTGTCCTGGGGAGTCAGACACGCTTGCACGGTGGGGCAGTGCTTCACAGCCTCATCCACTATTTTCTTCAGCTCCATCACGCACCCACCCCGAAGTCCTTGGTTGAAGGTGATAACTAATTTGAAATTTGGCTAACAGAGACAACACAGACATTTCTGATCAGTCTCCTCCCGACTTTGGCCCTCATAGCTCTGACTCACATAGAACATCCAGGCCTAGGATCAGAGAAACTCAGTCCCATCTTGAGTAAAGACTGGATGGAAAGTGAGGAGCTGTCTGCTCTCCAGCCTTTGTGTGTGCTATGAAGAAGCAGCCAGGCCTTTGTCCAGTTCTGAGGCTAAGGGGAAGGGAACTGAGATAAATCACTTTGAAGCTCAACTCTTCCTCCTTGAGTCAGCAGCATAAAGACACGGTTAACCAGACTTCCACCTTTCTCTCCTGTCTGCTCAGGAGTGAAACTCCCAGGAAGTGGCCATCATGCCACCTGCAGCAATCAAGGTGACAGAGAAACACCGAGAAGCAGAGACCAAGAAAGTTGAAACAGAGTGCTGCTCAAAGGTGTCCTATGTGGCCAGGCCCTGCTCCAGAGTGACGGTGTGGGTCAAAGAGCCTTCACTGTCTAGAGATCAGGAAACTACACCCAGTGGATGATTGGGGAGCTGCTTGGGTCTCCTCACCTTTCAGGGAGAAGGCCCTCCCCTGATCCCACACCTGCTCTTCAATGACCAATGGTGCTCAGCCAGGCCCAGGGGGAAGCCAGGAGGACCCTAGCTTCCATGGTTAACCTAGGGGGAGGCCCAGAGCAGGGAAGAGGGGTGCACACACAATGGACCTCGAGACCCCAGGAGCAGGAGGTCCGCCATGCTGCTCCCCAGTGCGGATCCCCAGAGGGATCACAGGCTGCAGGGGGTTACTACACAGCCCCTCAGGAAGATTTGGGACAAATAACCAGCTGTGATCCTGACTGGCAGGGCCTCACCCACACCCCCCTCAGGCCTTTCACCATTTTGGTACCTAAAGGCTCCCAGAGCTATGGACAGAAGTGCTTGGGAACCTCGACTCAATGACTCTCAATAGTTGGGGGTACAATCCTGCAATCCCCACCCTTTGCATGGAGCCATTTGAGGCATGTGTGCCACATTCCTGTCCAGAGCCTCTCTGCAGATGAATCTCCGGTCACCCCTGTGGCCTCACCAACACTGCCCTACCACACTTCCAAGACAGACTCTGGTCTCAATGTTCCCTTTGGGAGAGTCCTACCTAAATAAATCTGAAAGCACTTTTGCGCAACATGCCCACCCTTTCTCCTCCTGAGAGCCCTGGAGATGTCACGGCCATGAAAGTTCCCTGAGAATTCTGCAGCACACACAGGACCATCCAGGGGTCAGAGAGATACTCTAGGCTGCCCTTGTGCAGCCACTCCCTGCCTGGCACCAAGAGCCATGGCTACATACACTTTGCTCCTGCAAGCTTCAGTGATAGCTCACCTGGGGAAACCAAGTCAGTTGGGTGGAGCCTATCAGAGACTTTCCAGACCTACATCCCAGTAGGGGCTGGTCCAGGCAAGCCCCTGTGTTTCTAGAAGGGAGATGCTCCAGCAGGAAGGAATGAACCTTTCTCAAGGGGATGGGAGATAAAGAAAGCCCAAGGGATGAGGATCTTTCATGAAACAGTGACCACAGCCCGTGCAACATGCTGAAATCACACTACACAGCAGGCAGTTCTCCCCTGCCTCCTGCTGGCACACACCTCGGGCCTCCTGACTCGCACCTGTCCAGGGCCTCCCTGCCAACAGGCTTCCATGAGAGGCCTCCAGGAGGTACTCCAGGACGGAGCACCATACATGTCTGGACCACTGGTGCCTTCCAAGGCTGGGTCACAGCATGGGTGCTGGCAGGAACCACGTGTCACTCTGGGAGGATTTGACTTTCCTCCCTGGATTTGAGCAGGCACCAGCATCTGGTGTTCATTTTCTGCTGCTTCCCCCATAACAAAATAACACAAACTCAGTGGCTCGGAACACTCATTTTTAGCTCACAGTTCTGTTGTCTGGACAGGCTTGGCGGGGTTCTCTGCTTAGAGTCTCGAAGGCTGTGTGTCAAGGACAGAGCTGGCTCCTATGTGGTGGCTCTGGGGAAACATCCACCTCCAGGCTCATTCAGTGGTTGGCAGAACTCAGTTCCACGCGACTGTGGGATTAGGGTCGCCCTTTCCTTGCTTACTGTCAGCCAGGGGTCATTCTCAGCGACTACAGCCAATTTACTTGCTCTTGGTTCATGGCCCCGTTTATCTCTCAAAGCCAACAATGGCGGGCAGTTGCTTGAACTTCCTGACCTCCCTTTCCGCTCACCTCCGCCCCACCGCATGCCCCAGCATTTAAGGGCTACGGGATTAGATGGAGCCCACCTGATATCCTATTGCTCTTACATCTGCAAAGTCTCTTTCTACTATGCAAGTGACATGGCACAGCTTCCGGGGATTACAGGCCATCTGAGTGGGTCATTATTCTGCCCCCACAGCCCTCTCAAAGCCATTCCCTGACCTCTATCCTCCCCTCCAACACCCTCTAATTTCAAGCAGCCTAAAGCAAGAGGGAAGACAAATGAAGAGGATGGTCTGCCTGAAGTCAGGCCAGGGAAGAACTCTGGAACTGCGCCTGCTGACTGAGGTGGCTGCCCAGACATGTGATACCCTGGCAGTCAGACTCACAATATGCACCCACCTCCCAGCGACCAACTGAAGATGGCTGCACATTCTTTCACCTGCTCTTACAGAGGTTTGATTCAGGCCCTCCTTGAATCTGGAATGTCACAGACTGGCTTGGCCAATCTAGTAAGGCAAGAGTGATACAGGCCTGTGCCAGCTCAAACGCCTGTAGGACACTGGCAGTTGCTATTTCCTTCCTCTTGGAGCCATGTGCTGCCATGTGACAAGCCTGACTGCTGAGGCTGCAAGGCTATGAGGAAGCTCAAGTCAGCCACGGTAGAGGCCACATGGAGAGAAAGAGAGGCCTACCAGTCCCCAACCCTTCAAGTCAACCTGGTCTGAATGTCCCAGATGTCATGGAGCAGAGAACAGCCATTCCCCGTCCCCATCTGATTCCTGTTCCACAGATCCATGAAATAGAATAATAAAATTTATAGTTTTCAGCTGTTTTGCACTAAGTTTTGGAGTAGTTTGTGACACAGCAATAGAAAATCAAAACAGCCCTCGATTGACTCAAGAGGACAGATACCCATCTTAATAGAATCTTGTCCCTGGTGAACCTGGCACCCGCAGAGCTGCAAGGAGTGCTGAAGGATATCAGAGTCCTCTTCAGAACAGACTCCCTGGCCCTGCCTCTCATGCTTGGTTGTTTAGCACTTGAGGTTCTGATACCCCAGCATCCAGCTACTAACCTCTCAGGTGCTGAAGTCACTCAAGAGTCAACCTGCTATTGCTTGTTTCAAACAATCTTAACAGAAGCACTGGGTGACCATGGCCACACCAGCAAGAGAGGAAAGGGGCAGCTTAGCATAATGCTGAAAGCATGAACTATGGCGGCAGAATGTCTGTGTTCAACTCCTGACTTCACAATTACTAGGTATGTGACCTTAGATAAGCTCACGAACTCTCTGCGTCTCAGCTTACTCATCTTTAGAAAGAGAAGAAAACCTCCCCAAACAAAAGAAAAGACCAGAACTAAAATGACTTCACTGGTGAAGTTCATCAAATATTTGAATTAGGCAACTAATCCTTCTCAAACTCTTCCAAAACTGAAGAGAAGGAGATACTTTCAAATTCATTTCATGAGTCAGTATTGCCCTGATACTAAAGCCAGACAAAGATTACTACAAAAAAAGAAAACTATAGACAAATATCTCATATAAACAATGATGCAAAACTCTTCCACCAAATGCTAGCAAACTGTACCCAGCAGCATATTAATAGAATACACCATGACCAATCAGGACTTACCTCCAGAAAAGTGGTTCAACATGCAGCAATCAATCACTGTAACACATCACAATTACTCCAATGAAGGAAAACACATCTCAATTGAACACAGAACAAGCTTTTACAAAATCCAACACCCTTAGATGATCAAAACTTAAACCAGGAATAGAAGGGAACTTAATTGATAAAGGGCAATCTGAAAACCACACAGCACATCATATTAATGGCAAAGGCTGAAGCCTTCCCTAAGATCAGGAACAAACAAGGATGTGCCCACTTTTACCACTGCAATTCAACATTATAAAAGAAGCTGTTGCCAGAGTGATTAGCCAAAAAAAAAAAAAAAAGAAAGAAATAAAAGACATCCAAATTGGAAAGGAAAAAGTAAAACTATCTCTAGTCACAGTATTTTTATACGATCTAATATGTATAAATCCTAATGAATCCACAAAAAACTCTTTATTAGAGCTAATAAATCAGTAAATTTGCAAGATACAAGATCACTATGCAAAAATTATTGCATTCTATATATATTAGCAAATGAAACAATACATAAAGGAAATTAGGAAAACAATCCCATTTATAAAAATTCATAAAAGAATAAAATACTTAGGAATAAATTTAGCCTAGGATATGCAAGACTTGGACACTGAATACTACAAAATACTGCTGAAAGAAATTTTAAAATACCTAAGTAAATGGAAAGATACTCCATGTTTGTGGATTAATATTGTTGACATGGCAATACCTCCTCTAATTTTTTTACAGATTGAATGCAATCAAAAATCCCAACATCTTTTTTTTTTAGAAATGGAAGAATAATCCTAAAATTTTATGAAAATACAAGTAAACCAGAAGAGCCAAAATGATCTTGAAAAAAAAGAACAAAGTTGGGAGACTCACTCTCGTTCTAAAATCCTCATAAAGCTACAATACCAAAACAGTTTGGTACTGAGATAACAAATAGATAGATAACTTACAGATAAATGGAATAGAATAAAGAGCCCAGAAATAATCCCTTCCATATACGGTCAAATTATTTTCAACAAGAGTACTAAGTCCACTTAACAGGGAAAAAGAATAGCCTTTCCCCAACAAACGCACTGGGACCAATGGATAGCCATAGTAGACAAAGAATGAAACTGGACACTTACCTCAAGCATCCTGTACAAAATCAGCTCAAAAGTAAATCAAATGTAAAAGGTAAAACTTAAACTCGAAGAAAACATATGAACAGGAGGCCGAGGCGGGTGATCACTTGAGTTAAGAGATCAGACCATCCTGGCCAACATGATGAAACCCCGTCTCTACTAAAACCAAAAGTTAGCTGGGTGGCAGTGGTACTTACCTGTAATCCTAGTTGCCGGGAGGTTGAGGTAGAAGAATCACTTGAACCCAGGAGGTGGAGGTTGCAGTGAGCTGAGATCATGCCACTGCACTCCAGCCTGGCGACAGAGCAAGACTCCATCTCAAAAAAAAAAAAAGAAAGAAAGAAAGAAAAAGAAAACATAGGAAAAAATCTTCACAGCATTGGATTTAGCTATGTTTTCTCAAATAATACATAAAAGACACAGGCAGCAAAAATAAAAATCGATAAATTAGACTTTATTAAAAATTTAGAACTTTTATAACCAAAGTTTACTACTGAGAAAGTGAAAAGACAACCCACAGAATGGGAGAATATTTAAAATCATATAATCTGATAGAGGTCTAATATTCATAATATATAAGTAACTACATACTCAATAACAAAAAGACAAACAAGCAATTAAAATATGGGCAAACAGCTTAAGTAGACTTTTTCCAATGAAAACATACAAATGGACAACAGGTGCGTAAAAGACGTTCAATATTATTATCATTAGGGAAATGCAAATTAAAACCACAATGAGATATCACTATCTCCTCACCACGACAAACAATTTTTTTAAGTGAAAAACAAGATGCAGAGAAACTGGAGCCCACATATACTATTGGTGGAAATGTAAAATGGTGCATCTCCTTAGTACAACAGTTTTGTAAAGCTCCTGATAAGCAACATGGAATTACCACATGAGTCAGCAAGCCCACTCATAGGTACATAACCCCAAAATTAAAAGCAGGTGTTCCTATACATGAACATCCATAATAGCTCTATTCACAATAGCCAAAAAATAGAAACAACCCAAATGGCCATCAATTAATGAATGGATATTACTCACTCATTTAAAAAATGAAATACACGTGCCAACATGGATGAACAAAGAATGTCTGCTTAATGGGTATAAAGTGTACGATTTGAGTGATGAAAAACTTCAGGCATAGTGATGATGACTTATTAACACTGTGAATGCACTTAATGATCGACTTGTACACTTTAAGATGGTTACAACAGTAATTTTAGGGGAGGGGAATAATAATAGTGTTATTGCATAAAATACCTACTACACTAAGGTAAATTAAAGGACATAACCTTTGTAGAGTGCTTAGAACAGTGCCTGCACACAGTTGGTATTACAGAGTTCTAGAGAGAGAAGAAAGAGAAACAGGTGGCAGCATCACCTTGAACGTGGGGGGAGGAAATCCCTGAAAGGAAGTGGAAAGGCTTCTCAGACTTTGATACAGAGGAACAACAGGGCCTGAGAACTCTACCCACTATTCCCATTTCTATGAGACAAGAGTTCTCAATGGCCCTCAGAACTTGGGCACCTGCCTCTACAAAACCAGCTCAGGGGACTCCCTCCAGGAGACAGTGTGTGAGCAGAGATCAGACCTGCATGGACCACCATCTTGACACCAGTCCTTTGACAACAGCAAAACAAGGAAGTTATTGTTCTGCACAGTGTCCAAAACACACCGACTCACAAGCAGAAGTCCCCTCGCCTGGATTCATGATCCTTAAGACAATCTTCACCCGAGGATAGAAGGCTTCCAGTTGCTGACTCATGGATCATCTGCCGTCTCCAGCCTCATCCCACCTCCACACTTCCTTCCTGGGCTGCACTACACCGCTTCACTAGGCCCCCTCATGCTGGCGCTCCTCCACCTCAGCCTGTGCCTCTGCTGTTCCCTCCACCTGGAACTCTCCCTTTCATCTGGCTAATCTCAATACACCCAGATCCTCAGCCCACAGAACAAATTCTCATTCGGCCATGTGTCTGTCCCTAGTAGGATCTGTCATTTGTCTGTGTGACATTTTATTAATGTTCGTACTCTGATGGTCTCTTACACTGATGGCTAGGCCTCAGGAATAAGTGATCAGGAATTCCAGGATTCTTTCTGTCCTCTACGCACCCTCCTCACCATCATTGATCCTCCCAGCCAAGGACGCTCGCACTGAAGCCAGCAAAGATGACTGTGTGGATAGCTCCGATCCTGGGCACAGGCCAGCATTGCTGCCACAGCCAGTGGGGACACGGGCATGTAGATGGCAACACAGTCCCCACGGCGGACTCCATGCCTCTTCAGCGTGTTGGCTAGACGGCACGTTGTTCCGTGCAGTTCCCTGCAGCACAAGGAAGAGAAAGCCATCAGAGATTGAGGAGGGCCAAAACACAGAGCAGTTCGGGGTGGAGCAATACTGAAAATGTTATGTCATATACACCCAGCCCAGTGCCAGGATAACAGGCACTTGAATACTTAATGCATGGAAAGTACTTTTCCAGAAAAAGAAAAGTTTTTAACATTTGTAGATTGCTATTGGCAGAGATTCACTGCCGCATTGCTAGGGTGACAAGGCTATCCTTAAGTCCGCTACAGGGCTTTGTTAGGGAACAGGAGCGTAGGGGAGCATTTTAGAATCAATTCCATCTTAAAACTAGCAAGGCACATTCTTTGCCAGTCACGACCTACAGTCCTAAGATGTTTACAGTTGAGGAAGCAGCTTAATACCCAAAGGCAAACTCTTTGCAACAACAGAATGTCCAGATGCCCCAATAAGGTATAACATACGCTTTTAAGATGATTATAGGCATACAAGCTGACATCAGTGCACCAAAAGAAGGATAGCTTTTCTTTCAATCAACAAAGTAATAAATGTCACTTTGTCAGCCTACCCGAGGGAGACATAGCTTTGCTTACATAGATAAGACCTCTATATAAGAAATAAACAAAACAGAGGCATTCCTCCTCCTTGCTGAGGAGGCCCTACTTTGTAACTGAGAAGCTTCAATAAACCATTTCTTTTCACTGAGCTCAGCCACTCGCCTTGGGATTTTCTTCCGGCAAGATCCAAGAACCTTCTCCTGGATCTGGATGGGGACTCTTTTTCCAGCAGCAGCTTCTCAGGGACCACAAGTGTCTGAGGCATAGATCATCATGGTTCCAAAACTTCAAAAATGTTTGGCTCTCCAAAGAAAGACTGATTCTATAAGACATTTAGCTGAGAAACGACAGGTCCCAGATTTTGAATTAACACAGCTTCTAGGGCACCAAACAATGCCCTCAGCGGACAGGCCCCCAGGCCCAGAGGGTGGACTCAGCTCTGCAAAGCCACAGTGAGTCAGGGAGGAGGGCCGCAGGCAGGGCAGCCACACATCTCCCTGCTGCCTCAAGACAGCACAGGCAGGTAGAGCAAGCACTTGCTTTCCTCAAGCTGGGACTATGGACGGTGGGAAGGGAAAGCACTGGGCACCTGCCCGGCCCCCATGTCGTCCCCACGCGCCTACCTCACGCGTGCGTGCCCTTTCCGTCACCTAAAATCTGTGCAACCAAGGCCCATCCCACCCAACCGGCGCTGCAGCATCTCTGGGCAAGCTGATTGGTTCAGGGCTGACACGTGACCCAACCTGTCCAGTCAGAGTCAACTATACTAACTCCGGGAAAACCTGAGCACGGAGAGCTGTCGACTTGCCCACCATGCATGGAAGTGGAGGAAGTGGGAAGTGATCCCAAGGTTGTCTTTCCTTTCCGGGCCTCCTCATCCCTCTGAGTCTGGACCTGCCAATTGCATTAACCACTTTCCCCACTCTTGCTGTACGGTGACTTTAATTAATTATTTGCAATAAAAAAGAGCTAACACATATGAAGAATGAGGGAAGCTAAGGCCCTTCTCTCTGGGCAGGCAGGCCACCAGCCTCGCAACCCCTGCCTCTGCAGAGGCCCAGAAAGGTGACCCTCCTCGGCTTGCAAGGCCCCTCGCAACGTGTTTGCATAGCTCTCCTCTGTCTGGAAGGGTAGTCAAGGAAAGGGCTCCTGAGAACAGTGAAGCTTGACGAGGCTACCCGGGAAACTACAGCAGAATGAAAATGAGCTCTCCGCATCACAGGCAGGGGTCAGCGAGGGCCTTTGTTTCTTCCCGAGGCCATTCGCGAAGGGGACCACATGAGAACCAGTCCGCAGTTCTCCCTGCAGCCAGTACACCTGCCCAGCCTGGCTCCAGCAGCCTCTTCTGTGGGATTTCATCGCTTTTTCCTTCATTGAAGGAGGACAAAGGCGCCATTCAGTGGCGCCCACCCACTCCTGCCAAGGTTTGTGATAAAAGACAGAACACTCCCCAGGAAAACCCCCAGCACCAAGCTCTACAGGATTTAGGGCTCAGCAACACTCCTGCTACTCCGGGGAGGAGGTGCTGGGGTGGCTCAGACTGCTGGGAAGAGGGAGCTGTCAACAGCAGGGAAGAGTCATTCAGCATCCTCGCCAGATTCCGCTTTCATAGTTTGAGAGCTTAAGCCTCACTGCTACGCAGAGATGAAGGCTTGAATGTATGCTCACAGTAAATGGCGATGAAATCAGTCCCTGTTCTGCAGACGGAGGCAAGTAATTCAGCCAAGAAAGGACACCAGACTGTCCCAACAGAAAGGCCTGGGGTAGCTTTCTGTAGTAGCTGCCTAAGCATGGGAGCTTATCTTTCTGAGCTGCCATGTGACCATCTGAGAAAACAGCAAGCACCCTCCAATTGTACAGCTGTCACAAGTATTAATAAGAAGCAAGACTCACTTGGAAGTCTGCTGACATTCAGTAGGAACGCCTTTCCTGGCCAGATGGAAACTTCAGAAATCTTTGTGTGAAATCGTTTTCTAAAATGACAAAATCAGCCAACTCACTTCAGTGAATTCTTACATAAAAGCAAAATCCTACTTTAGGCACCTTGGGAGGAGTGGGTGTTTGCACTCAGAGAAAGAAATTGACAGGGAAAGTGTCCTCCAGGAGCACAGCTCCGATGGGGAAATGACGGCACGTGTGAAGGTGTACAGGGCACTGAGCAGCTCAGCTTGGTGGTATAGCCACTGGGGGTGGCAGGGAAGGGCAGCAGGGAGCGCTTTCTGGGTAGATTAGCTGTTGAGAGTGAGGACTGGGGCAGAAAGAAGAGTGGATTTTCCTATAGGGGCAGACATCAACCAGTCAGCTGGAGCTGGACAGCTAAACGACAGCCTCCAGGAGGGTTCAGAGACAAGGTTTCTGGAAGACTGAGGCCTCAACATGGGCTCAAGAGCTGAAGCAGGTCTGGGTGAGTCCCACACTCTTGCTGCTGAGTCCAGAGGAGAGGCTTCTGATAAAGGATTTGATCCAGGTAAATCTCAGAGCTCTCTCCTTCCTATTTTCTCTGCTAAGGAAATACCTTGGCAGAGAAGTGGAAAGATCCTTGAAGTGGAAAGGATCCTGGACGTCAGGGCGGCAGCCTTCCTTGGGGACTCTGAAATCTGGTAGCCACATTTTGGCCCACAACAGTCCAGCCTCTGCTTAAACATCATACTTGCCAGAGCTCACCTCATGGGGCCACTTCTCTGTCACTTTGGTAGGGAAATGTCAACCAAAAATTGACCAAGATTTGTAACTCTTCAAATCCTACCCTTAGTCCTACCTCAGACCTTTAAAGCTTCCCAGAATAAATCTTAATTTCAATGACAGCCTTCAAATTCTGAATATTCCCACCCCCTTCATCCTCTTGAAGCTTCTTCCTCCCCAGGCCTCTGGTCCAGCCTCCATGACGGCACTCAGTCTCGGTAGACACCCCCAGACTTCCAAGTGAACCCCCACATTCTCATGCTGCCTGCCCAGAGCTGAATGTGGGTACTCAGACCTCCTTGACTTCACCCTATATTTAACCATGTTTTTATTTTTTATTTTTTTTAATTTTTCTGAGGTGGAGTTTCGCTCTTTTTGCCCAGGCTGGAGTGCAATGGCTCGATCTCAGCTCACCGCAACCTCCACCTCCCAGGTTCAAACGACTTGAATTCTTCAGCCTCCCGAGCAGCTGAGATTACAGGCACGCACCTCACCACACAGGCTAATTTTGTATTTTTAATACAGATGTGGTTTCTCCATGTTGGATCAGGCTGGTCTCGAATCCCCACCTCAGGATCACCCACCTCGGCCTCCCAAAGTGCTGGGATTACAGGCATAAAGGCCACTGTGCCAGGCCGAATTACATGGATTTTTAAATACCTGACAGGTGGCTCAAATTCAACATGAGATCACTAACCTGCACCCTCCCAACTCCTAATACATGTAACAGATACCCTTTAACTAGGCTTTCTCTACATGCGGCCATGGAAATGTTTTGTGTTTTTTTAAAGTAGGCTTTCCATTTATCCTAATCTAATTTATTCCAATTTCTCCCCATCTCTCTCCAGATGACTTTTTGGTTGTTTTTTTTGAGATGGAGTCTCGCTCTATCACCCAGGCTGGAGTGCAGTGGTGCCATCTCGGCTCACTGCAACCTCCCAGGTTCAAGGGATTCTCCTGCCTCAGCTCCTGAGTAGCTGGGACTATGGGTGTGCACCACCACACCCAGCTAATTTTTGTATTTTTAGTAGAGACGGGTTTCACCATGTTGGCCAGGAGCCAACCTGAACTCTGACTCATGTGATCCACCAGTCTTGGCCTCCCAAAATGCTGACCCAGGCATGAGCCACCACACCTGGCCAATTTTTGAAGCCTGGATTTTTAAGTTTAAACTCTCATTTTTCATTAGCAATATCCTCCAGACACATATTACTGGAAAATATGGTCAGCAAACCTAGGTCTTCAAATCATCGAAAAATAAATGTTGTTCAAGTAAGTGATCCTGCCATTCCAAGTACTCAGCAACTATTTGAAAGCATCGTTTTGGATATTCATAATTTCTCAGACTTCCACAAACCGAAATGTTACTGTTTCTGTATCAGAAAGATAAGGCAGCCACCAGGTGACTGATGCCTTGTGCTACAGTTGCAGGAAACAGTGGCTTCCTCACTACCTGCAGGATCCTCTTTTGTAGCACCCTAGCAGGTCTCCAAAGCACGGGGATGTGCAGCTTTCTAAGTCACTAAAATGAGTTAGAGTTTTACTTTTAAGTCCAAGAAGAAATATAACACTTGTTGTTCAGGTACTGGAGAATATTTAAGTTTGTCTGCAATGGTGACTCTGCCGGGTCAAGCTTTTGGTGTGGATGATGCAAACATGTGCAGAAAACACAATTTGGTCTTGTGTTCCTGGTACTTAACACTAGGAAAATGCCACTGGCCTTGGGGAAGGTAGAAGACTTATTATCAACTCTTAACATCAACTGGGAATAACTTTTAT